CGCCGATCAGAAGTCCCAAAGCAGAACTCCTGCGTTTCTGCCCGCAAATAAACTGTGAAGTTGTGGACCATCTGTTGGTCTTCAAAGCTGAAGCTCTGAGACCACTGGTTCTGATAATCCCCCTTTACAGTGATTAGGATAATTCGGCTGCATAGATGAATACAGGGTGGGGCAAAATCACTGGTGCACTTAGATGTATCAGACTTTTCCTAAGTCATCGAGTAGATTTTCCAGCTCGATTCTCTCGTGATTTTGCTTGAACATGCCAATAAATGGGCACTCATTACAAAGTAGTGCCCCCTCAACTTTCCAAACGCTGTTCAAATAGCACCCAAGATCGGTATTTGTTCAAAACCACGGGCGTGTGTTCGCTTTGGAATGGGTTACCCGTGAATGCAGCTTTGCCTTTGCTTCAGCGGGACATTTCTCAGGTTTTTCTAAAGAATCGGTATATGGGTGCCGTATTTATGAACCACTCACAGCAGATCTCTAGCCGCTTCATACCGACACCACTACCTTGATCCGATGGACTGTCTTCTAATTCATAAACTCCACCTCTAAGATTCCTTTCAGGTGACCGTTGAACTGGGCAATAGACATCTGCACGGTGTCGACCTGATGGTTCGGCCAGGTTCAGTTGTTCATGGTCCCCTGCCCTCCGGCGAAGAGAAAGCTGTCGTTGAAAGATCTAAGCTCGACAAACGTGAGTTCAGCACATAAACCTTATAGAGACGGTTTTTCGCATGTTGAAGTCGGAGGGGTGGAGACGTGCACGGTCGCGATGCGGTCAGCGACGCTAGAGGCTCCGCCCCTCCCTTATGAACTGCGCACTGAATCGTTCCTTGCTCCGCAATGTTGTTATTTTGAAGCAACCAATGCTTAACTCAATTTCAGGAGCTATTTCAGGAATACTAATTCCTTATAAGCTTGCACGTGGTAAGTCCAGAGAATTCGAAAATTCTCTGGAAAATGCACTGGATCCGTTTTCACCTCCGGTGGAACCGCTACTGGCGCAATCAGATGACGCCCTCGAGCTCCCACGCAATCTTCCATTCGATCAAAGGAATTCCCTCTGGGGTGCCGAGGTAGGTATCATTCCAATATTTCCTTAAAGGGACTTTTTCTCAGAAGTCCAAAACCAGAAACGATGGTGGCGCAAGGTCTGAAGTACCGCACCAATTTTTTTCTAGATCCGCCTCCTTTAGGTCATGGGGAATCGCATGGAAAGGCGGGGTCAATTTTGGGTGAGTAGCAAATGAACCACAGTTGTGCTGAACAGAAGACGCCCACAGTGGGCGGGCGCGCATCAACTGGATAGTGTTTCCTAAAAAAAATGCCACTTTGCTCCAGAACATCCCAGAGTTTGGAAATAAGCGGCCATGGCTAAGCAATAGAGGAGGGACAAAAATCAACCGGATGGGCGCAGCCAAAGTCAGATTCTTCGAAGCAAAATTCCTGGAGAGGTCTGAGGCTAGGAAAAAATGGATAGAGGCTAAGGCCGATGTCAGACTTTGCGAATCGCGCGCGATTCGCTACTAGCGATTCGCGCGATTCGCTAGCGTCCGCGGTCGCGTTGCGGTACCAGCCAATTGAGTGATTCACTGGCCGCGACGCGACCGCAGACGCTAGCGAATCGCGCGATTCGCAAAGTCTGACATCGGCCTAACGAGCGGAAATGGTCTTGTGCAAACTGTAACCAGGACATTGCTGGAGTAGGCGTGGCTTGAATCAAAGCTCCGAATGCAGCTTATTAGGCTTTCAGCTCTGAGTAGGTTGATTCGGACTGGTGACCTATAGTTAGTTGCTATGAAGCAGTGAGACCTCTATGGATCATATGTTGCTGTTCTAGCCACTGTGGATCGCCAATACACGAAAGCAAATGTTCTTCCAGATAATAAGTAATAGTCGACATTCTCTGTAGATTTGTACTTTGATAATATTCGTTTTTTTTTTCGGCAAATTGGCCAATTTCTTTCAGATTGACACTCATCTTGCTGAAATGTGCTTTTTTGTCCGCACTGACACTCAGCTGACTGGAGTCGATCCGATAATGAAGTATGTCGGAGAAACGGAGCCTGGTTGTATCCTAGCATGCGCACGGTAAGAGACTGACGGCTTCGCAACAGAGGTTTTCCATACAGTTCTCGCAACTAAAAATTCGCGCGGGCCAGTATTTCATACCTTGTGGTCGCGCCCGCGGCCCTCCTGGGTGCGACCGAATTGAATTATTCACGGTGTACCTAGCCACTTTGTTGTTTTTGCCATATTTTGGAACAACTTTTTTAGTCAGGCGCATGCCACACCAAATAAAAATAAAACAAAACTTACTCCCTTGTTGGTTTTAGTGATGTTGTATTCTTGAAGAAAATTTAAGAAGAAATATCTTTGGGAAGTTGAAAAACATCGAGATTTTTAGATTTTTCCTGAAGTTTCGAAATTTTGGCGTCCCTGCTCTGACGTGTGTAACCGTTCAACGGACTGTCCGAGGGTAAAGGCAGTGAACACGATGGCTAGGGCGGTGCGGTTTGTTGACGTCATTGGTCATTTTCGGTTAAGAACTCTTTAGGGCGTGGGTGGGCGGTGTAGTTTTTTTTTTTTTTTGGATCACATCCTCCTGCGCTTTTCCATCAGTAACGTTCAATGACGTCATCAAAAGCGCACCATCCTCTAGCCGACCTAGTCGCTGCCCAACCCAATTGGGGAAATTGCGACTCAACGCGGGGACGCACCATGGAAATCCTTCTGGCCACCGTAACAATTTTGAAAGCTATTCTGCGCAGGATTTTCAAAAATGGTTACGGTGGCCTATGAGTCAGGAAGTTATGCCCTTGCATTTATGGAACATGGCGCCGTGAATGATCATTTCTAGAGCGGTGTTTATGCTCAAGGGTATTCAGAAAGTGGTTTCTTAAAGTAAAGCTTGCCATTTTTATATACAGGGGGGGGGCCAATAAAAAAAAGACATTTTGTCTCCACTTCCAGATGGATTTAAGCACACTTTGCTCAATTCAGACCGAATGGTTCCCAACTTATTATTGAAGAGCGCATTCCATTCTATAAGAAAATCTTCATAGTGGCCACCTACGTGGACGGCATCAGAAGAATTTGCCCTGGAAACATGGTGCACTGGTCGAGCTCAATGGGGTCTTCGAAGGATCGTGTACCATAACGACCTTTACTGGAAAGCTAGTTTCGAGGGGATTTGCACAGTGGTAGCTAATGCCTCTAGAAAACTATCCAACATTAAATCGATTCACGAAATTGCGTAAGAGCTTCAGGCTGAAGCTCTTACGGTAGACCTCCTTGAGCCTGACGACGGTGACAGATGACGTCATATTCTGAAGACGGTGAGGGCAGTGAAGGAGGGCCTGCGTTCACTTATAGAGGGACACTTAGGGAATACTCTGCTGAGGAACTCCCGTCAACGACAGCAATCTCTGCGAAGAAAAAAGAGCCGAAGTCCGACATAGGCAAAATGTCTTTTTTTTTTGCCCCCCCCCTGTATACTGCTTTTTTTGCTTGTGCTCAGTTAGCTACGAGTACTGATACAGCTTTACACAAAATGTAAGCTGGATCCAACACCATTTACGATTTTCGCAGTGGGAAATTGTGGCCTTCTGGCTCACTCTGAAATCGTTCCTGCTCCAAGCGAGATGATTCACGCTTTTTTGGAAGCTATCGACAGATTTCGGACGTGCAAAGTTCAGATTCCGCCTCGAGATCAAAATTTTTGGTGTGGACTTATCCCAGAATTGTCGCATTTTTCGAAAATGTTTGAAAAAGACACGGTCCCACGTGGCAGACCCACGAAAAATCGCATTGTCGCCAAAGGGGCAACGTGCTTGCAAAAGGCCCTTGTGACAGCTATGGAAACGGCACCACAATAGCCGCGTTGGAGAGTAGAGGTACCGCTAACTTCCAAATTGCCCAACGCGATTATCTATTTACTTATTTACTTATGCATTTATTTATTTATTTACTTATTTATTTGCGTTCAAGGACGCCTTAAACGAACTATTCGACCTTGAGTAGCGATCGCACTCAGCGACGTGAAATATCGAAAAAATCTGCAAAAAATAGGAGACGCTACCTGGAAGTAGGCAACGAAAATATTCATTCAGGAACAAACGATGTCATTCGGTGAACTATTCGGGAACAATGTCCACGTGTGAGATTTTTGATGAAATGGATTTCGCTGCAATGCAGATCAGCTATCGACTGGCTACAACTTCTATATGCCAAAGCAGACGAATGTACAGGCTTGTCTTGAAGGTAAGAAGCTCGTAGTTCTCCGGTATTCGGCCTACGTTGTCACAAATTTACCTCGCTTGGCCGTGATCAGACCAATTTCCACGATTAGTTTGAAGAAGCGATATTTTCTGTGGATGAAGAATGTATCTGGGACTGCAACCGCGGAGGTACTGTAGCTTAGAATGCGTGGCAATTATACACTTTGCTCTTACGACATGTATCCATGCCCACCGTTGCGTACGCGTCTGCGTCTTTGCTTGCCCCCCATGCTCTTTCGTCTCTAATCCTGTTCTCTCACCTCAGCAGCCACGCGAGCGTTCCTGGTAAGCATCAATTTGCCTCTCGATCGTATCTCACGCAGAAAGAAAGGCCCCATTCGCAGTAGTTTCAGCGATTTCATCTGCTTTTTTTTCCTAAGGTGATTCAACCAAATCATTCTACAAGTTCTGACATCTCGCTTGCCCAGTTCAAATACCGTGCGGATATCAAAAAATAGCAATAAAAATGGGTTTTTCGAAGAGCAGTTTAGCTTGATTTTCGTCAAATGTCATAGTAGGATAAATTCCCAGCCAGAGTCATCCCTTAGCTGGTTGAGTTAGACGTCGGGGAGTCTTTATTCGCCGCAAGGGGCGATGCTTTAGAAACATTATAAGAAGAAACATTAAATGTCAAGAACCGGATTGTGCGATACTCAATCATAAGCAATCGTAGGTGAGGATGAATCGCAAAAAGTTCAAAATCGACCAGGCTTCAGCTACAGATGAACAGGCTGGGGTCTACGGGGTTCTTGAACTCGAAGAGCGCAATGTGCTTCCTCTATCTGTGCTCTCTCGTCTAAATAGCAGTTCATGACCTCGGTGTCCTTGCACGCTCCAACATGTCAAATGAAAAGTGGCTCACGTACCCCTTCCCCCTCCTCCATCCCCCCGCCGTACGGAGTCGCCTTCATTCTCTCTTGTTCAAGTGTCCTCAGTTTTGCACCGTTATAAGCAGCGGTAGGCGCCGTCCTCTCATAGTGGAGTCTGCTCTGGCCTTTTCGTAGGAGAACATAGAGGAAAGCAAAAGCAGTCACATGAGCCCAGTTGAGTGGCAGTGGTTGGAGGCGGCAAGCGGCGACGTTGTGCGATCCTAAACTCGCGCTTGGAACGCGATAATTCACTCGAAGGACGGAAGTGGTCAAATGAGACCAGGCTTGAATAACTCCAGCGCTTAAATCCAAGCGCCCTATGCGCAGTCTCCAATAATACCCCCCCCCACTTCTCGCACGGCTATCACTTGGTTAGCATTTATACAATCGCAGAAGGTCTTCTATGATGGAAGCCTGTTGTCGCTCAAAACACTCCTAATTTTTTTACTATTCCAGCACTTACAATCGACTTTGACCACATCCCCTGATCTCACTACCACTAGCTGAATCCATTATTTCGCCCTTCCCGTACACAAGATCTTTTTGGCATTTCAGATATGCTCCAAACCGGAAAACACTCTTCCGATGCAAGCGTTACATGTGACAACGAAGGCTCTTGTAAGACATCTGCTGTTCTTGACGTGGTTGACGCTTCCAACTCGTCCACCCACCCACTACCGACTAGTCTCTTCCAAAGGTACGATACTTTTCAAGTACTTGAGTTTAAAGTCAAGCGTTCGTCAACCGAATTTCGTCGAGGAGAGGTCGTAAATGTGAGTTAAGGGAGTCGTATTTCTTGAAATACGCATGCGTTCTTGAAGGAGATTTTTCAGGGAGTTGGAGAGGGGGGGGGGTGAGGGGTAGAAAATCTGAGGCAAACTGCGCATGATTTTAGAATACTATGAAAATTTTCTACTTTTTTCTCGTAATTCGAGGTTCCGAAACCTTTCTGACCATGAGATAAAAGCAGGGTCAACCGTGGCGTAGGAATGATTCAAGATATACGACCCTCCCCCACTTCCTAAGAAGGTTGATTGTGTTGACAGCGTTGAACCTAGTACCTCCAACCCCGCTCCAGAAACTCCAACGGTAAAACGAGCGGGATGTCATAAATATTGAAACAGGACGCCATTTCCCCACATACCACTACCCACGTCTGATTAACTGAACAGGTGTTCCCCGGATGGAAGTGTGGGAAGTAGGACCAAGTTTAAATAGTTTGAGGAAGAGTTCTAGGTGAGTGACCATTCAACGAGGGACTTTCGTGCTGTTTCCGAAATTTGTCCATTCAGATGGTTTACTCCGTCTAAACCGGTGTGTTGTTTCAGCAAAGTGCTCACATGGCTCGGCCGTCCTTTTCATTCGCTCTGCTCATTCTCGCAACGAAAAAGGCAGAAATCTAGATACGGTATCCAATATCAGTGAAGATGACTGTTTGTTTTCATGCCTAACAAATAAGGTCAGTTTCCCCCTCCCAACTCATTTTTTCTCCATTGAATCTGATCATTTTCCACTTAAGGCCGCTGATTCGCATCCTGTACAGTGCGCTTCGGCTGAGTACGACCAAAGCGGAGGGCGCTGCACGTTAAGCTCCGAACCAAGAGCAAACGAGCTCACCGAGCATCCTTCTGCCGTGTTCTACGAGAAGATATGCGTTGCACGTGAGTTTTTTTTAGCGTTTACTTTTGTACCCTGCTCATTACTTCTATCTGAGTATGAACATAGCTTATGTGGTATGTTTCTGGTGTAGACATTTGAGAGGTATTCCAATATATGAGTGGGCGGGACAGAGGCGCTGCGGGCGGTTGCGATCGCGGTGCTAGCAGTGGGCTTGTTCTTGGAGTGATTGCAACGGCATTTCGAGAGAAACAAATAAAAGTGAAAAGAATGACGGGAAAACTTCCGCTATTTGTCGACCCTTTTTTAGAATGCGCCACATTTTCAATCCCCATTCAGACTTATCAGGACATCCATCGTGATTTAGCAAATACAGTGACTAACGTGGGCCATCCTATCATTGGTTTTATCCTCCAAGACGAGTCTGCTATAGTAAGGAATTCAAAAAAGGTGGAAGACTAGGTTGCTGTAGACGAGATTCGATAGTAGATTTGACCGCCGGATCGTGCGCATGGGAAGTGGCGCCACCCGCCACTGCGCCATCTTATCACTTGTTTCAGA